CTATGTAAAATACTTGAGAAATATGTGCCACTTACCAAGTACCTGGATACCAGTACAATGGGGTTATTCATGCCATTAAAATGCAGTGTGTTCCATTTTAAATCAGGGGCAGTCACTGGGCCCAGGGGTTAAGCCTCTGGCTTGGATGCCAGTGCCACAGATTAGAGCACCAGTTTGGTACCTGGCTCATGCTCCCAACTCCAGTGTCCTGCTGTTGCAAACCCTGGGAAGCAGCTGGGATAGCTGAAGTAGCTGGGTCCTTGCCTCCTGGGGCATGACCTGAACAGTTCCTAACTTTTGCCTTTGACCCAGACCAGCCCCAACTACTCAGAGAGTAAGCAGTGGAATAGCACCATCTCTACCTGTCTCTCTCTCCTTCTTCCCACCTCCTCTTTGTCTTAATTAGTATTTCCAACAAACGTGTTTTTTTTTTTTCCTCAAGAAAAAAAGCAGTGTCACATTTAAGAAGAAAAAAAGTAGGTCAAAATCTAATTTTTTTTTTTTAAGATTTATTTTTATTATTTTTTATTGGAAAGGCGGGTATACAGAGAGGAGAGACAGAAAGGAAGATCTTCCGTCCGATGATTCACTCCCCAAGTGAGCGCAACGGGCCGATACTATGCCGATCCGAAGCCAGGAGCCTCTTCCGGGTCTCCCACGCGGGTGCAGGGTCCCAAGGCTTTGGGCCGTCCTCGACTGCTTTCCCAGGCCACAGGCAGGGAGCTGGAAGGGAAGCGGGGCTGCCGGGATTAGAACCGGCGCCCATATGGGATCCCGGGCGTGCAAGGCGAGGACCTTTAACCACTTGTGCCACCGCGCCGGGCCCCAAAATCTAATTTTTATCCTTAATTATTTTTAGGTCATGTCAAAGTTAAATTTTTTCTAGAATTTATACTGCTTTTAGTATAAAACATAAATATGATTTTTTTAGTTTAAAAAAATGCACCTGTCCTAATTTATTAAACAAAGATTAGAGGCCCTGCTTTGAATCAGGTACTATGATGGACAATGGAAGTGCCAAGGTGAATAAGAAATATATGGCCTCCTCACTAGTCTTCGAGGAGTTTTGAGACTCAAGTAAATTTACGTATCACACAAAAAAAATAACATTAAAGCCAAAGTACCTGAGAAATCCAGTGTTTGAAACTGAAAATGGCACACTGTCCTCTTCAAAAAGTTAATTCATTTTAATGCAGAACAATCTTTATGTTTATATACAATGTAAAGCTCTTCAATTGCATTACCATCAAAGGGAGTAAGAAACAGAAAACCTGGAAGGTTGAAGGGGAACAGAAGTGTGAGGCACTGGAGTAAGCACTAGCTTTTAGGTGATACAGGGGAACAGGAAGGGGTACTTGGACTTAGGCCACTCTAATTCTTTCCACACTGGAAATAAGAGCTACCTTATCACAACACGAAAATAATGTATTCGAAAAACCATAACAAAACCTGGGGATGACACCTGCTCCTTCATTTGAATTTTTATTTTTTTCCCTATTGTCACTGATTAACCAAGCACATTTACAAACAATTTAACTTTGCTATGCTTCATCAAGTGGAAAGAATGCAGGAAGTAGAGGCAGAAGATCTGAGTTTATAATCAAAAGCTGCCTTTTACTAACTGTAAGGCCAAAAAAATTAAAAAATAAAAAAAAAATTAATCGCTTTGCACCTCAGTTTCCTAGCAAAAATAAATAAATAAATAAAGCTATCTTATAACATCACACAAAATACTTAATTGGAAAATAACGTGAAAAAACATAAGCTTAGAAACTAATAAAGGGCCAGTGCTGGTAAAACAGCAGGTGAAATTTCCAGCTGAGGTGCTGGCACCGCACATGGACCCCTGTTCAAGTCCTGGCTGCTTCTCTTCTGATCTAGTTCCTTACTAATGACCTGAGAGAGCAGCAGAGGGACGGTCCACGTGTTTGTGCCTCTGTGACCATGTGGGTTACCCCAAATGAAGCTCCTGGCTCCTGGTTTCCATCTGCTCTATCTGTCCACTACAGCCATTTGGGGAGCAGCCAGAAACAGAAGATCTCGGACAGACATGAAGAAATGCTGGTAAGGATGTAAAGCAAATGGAACCTTCGTGCATTGTTAGCAGAAATGGAATACGGTGCAGCAGCTATGGAAAAGAGTTTAGCAGTTCCTCAAAAAGTCTGAGTCACCAGACATAGTAATTCTCAGTAATCCCCACACCCTAGCATACAGTCAAGGGAAAATACTTACCCATACGAAAACTTGTAAATGAGTGTTCACATTACTCATAACAGCCAAAAAGTGAAAACCCAAATGCCCATGGACTGACAGGTGAATAAACAAAATGTGGCAAGGCCACAGAATGGAATACTACTCGGTCATAAAAAGCTGTGCAGTACCAATGCTTGCTAAAACATAAATGGACACTGACAATATTAAGTGAAAGACACAAAGGCCTACATGTTGCACGATTCCATTTATACGAAATGCCCAAAACAGGCAAAACCATAAGGACAGAAATAGATTAAGCGGCTGCCAAGAGCAGGGGAGGAGGTGAGCAACTAGTGGATACAGGTTGCTTGTTAGGGTGGCAAAATGTTCCTAAATTAGTGCTGCTGTTTGCACAGTCTTGTCACCATTCCAAAATCACAAACTGTATGCTTTAAGAGTGATTCCTATGACATACTGAAATGTATCTCGAATAAAATTCTTAATGGAAATTTAAGTTTGTGTCATTTCTTATTAGTGAATATCCCTGCTTTTCTCAAAAGGTTACTCCTGTTTTGTAACATCTATAAAAGCTCTCTGGAGCAAATATTACACAGATGAGTGATATTTTTAGAGAAGCAAAAACTACGTTCCCAGAGAAAACTTTCTACAAATCAGATTTAGTAGAATTTTATTTGATAAAAAGCAATTTTCTACATCTTAAACTAGTGGCTATTCGGCTCAAAAATCAAATTACCTGTTTAAAAAGCTATGAAGCAGCAATGAATTAAAACTCAAATAGCAGAGCCAGAGCTGGGATGTAGCTGGTTAAACCACTGCTCATGACACGAGCACCCCAGATAGGCACCAGTTCAAATCCCAACTGCTCTACTTCCCATTTAGCTCCCTACTAAGTTACCTGAGAAAGCACTGAAAGATGACTCAAATGTTTGGGCCCCTGCACCTGCACAGGGGTCCTGGCAGCAGCCTGGCCCAGCCACTGCCGCCATTTAGGGAGTGAACCGCGGATGGAAGATCTCTCTCTTCTGCCTCAACCTACCCCTTGTGACTGCCTTTCAAATAAAACAAATCTTGAAAACCAAAAATCCCAAGTAAATGCAAGTCTCACTCTTGCTTCACTACTTTCTACGCCCGCCCCCCCCCCCCATTCTGCTGTCACTCTGTGCCCAGATCCCAGCCTCCTTCCAGGTACCATGCCCAGAGGGAAAGACCTGGACACCCTTCAAACAGGACCGACTCACTTTCCTCACGTTGGGAACTTACGAAGGCAAGCCTGAATTTTAAGGTTAGTCTAGAATGTCTGAATAAATATCCAACAAAATGATTTCCTGGCATTTCAGAAATAAAAACAATCAATAGAGTTGTGCAATGCTTTCTACGTCCTTTGGGAATTTTTTTCATAATTTAGTCATGAGGTAAAGACAGCCACCAACTTTTTATCCACACAAAGTATTCGTGTAAAAGCTTCCTGGTTCTAGAACAAAGAAGTATTTTAGTGTTCAAAGCCAAAAAAAAAAAAAAAAGATATCTTCCTTCTATTTAGTATTGTTATGCCAAAATAGCATACCCATGAAATGAGCTAGGTAAGGCATGCCACAGAGTAAGGTAAACAAGACAAATTATTCTTTAATATGTTCTTACAACAAGTAAAAAAAAAAAAAAAACGGTTTATCGGTCCAAGGGAACAAGAAAAAAAGAACCTTTATGGATGAAGATTTTCCCACAAGGGGCATTCTGAGTGGCAGCTACAATCTTGCCAAGCGAGGCTGGGATGCATGGTGGGTAAAGCCTGGCACAGACAAAAAGTGAGGACCAGGGCAGACCTGTCAAGCAGCAGCTGCTGCTAGTTCCACCCTCAACAGCGCTCCCAAACTTCGGGCTGTCTGGGGCTGAGGCAGAAATGTCAAAGCCCCCAGAGCAACCAGCACGCGGGGCAGTGACAGCAGCCCGCAGCTCTGCCGCGCGCCCCACGGTCAAATCCCACCCGGGCCCTCCGGAGCTTAGCCACCCCGCTGCTCGGGTAGAACACGAGGCTACCTAAAACGTGTTTTTAAAATGATAGATAGAGAAGCGTGGACCCAGGCCAACCGTGTCCTCTTTCTCTCTCCCCGCTTTGTGACTCCGATAACCTCCTGCAGGCCCGGGGTAAGCCAAGCCCCACGCGGCGAGGGCGGCACCCAAGGAGCCTGGGCTTGGCCCGGGGGGCCTCGGCGCTCGTGTCCTCCCCACCCACCCACCCAGCCAAGCACCCAGTAACCGGGCAGGACTGGTCACCGGTCACACAAAGGAACCGCCGCGGGCGCTGGACGCGGGGACTCACCCCAGAGCCGGTTGCCGCGTCTGCTTTCTAGCACGCACGGGGAGGGCGAGACCCGCCGGGAAATTAAGGATTAACGGCCCAAACCTGTTGCACGATTTCGGTCCTTTTTTCGCCCAGAAATGAACGAGGGCACCCAAGATGGGGAGAAGCGCGCTGCCCGGGCTGTGCGGGCCGCTGCCGCTCCCGGCAGGCGGCGCCGAGGCAGGGGCGGCCCGCAAGGACTCGCACCTCCGGCGCTTTGTCTGCGGAGGCGGCCCGGCAAGGGAGCCGGGGACGGCCGGGAGGGCGGCGAGGGCGGCGGGGTGGAGGCGCCGCTCCCTCAGCGCGCCGCCCCGCCGGCCCCGCGGCCCGCGCCGGGGAAGAAGGCCGAGCCCGCCGCGGCCGCCCCCGGGGCCCCGCGCCTCGCTGCCGCCGGGCCTGCGCGCTCCCTCCCGCCTGGGCCGCCCGGCCGCGCGGCACCCTCACTCACTTGGCCGGTGCTTGGTGCTGGAGCTGGCGGCCGGCGGCTCCGGGGCGTCGGGGAGGACACGGGGACGTTCGCGAGGCGCAGGCGGAGGGCGAGGCGGGAGGAAGGCGGGCTGGGGGGCGGAGCGGGCCTGGGTGGCGGCGGCTCCAGTCACTCGCCGCAAAGCGCGTCCCGGCCCCTCCGTGCGTCAGGCGGGGGGCGGCGGCGCGGGTGGCCCAGCGACCTCCCGGCACCCGCGGCCTGACCCGCGTCCGAGCGCCCCGGTGCCTGCGGCGCGGAGACCCCGCCCGGCACGGCTAGGGGGCGGGACAGGGGGAGCAGGGGCTGGGCGAGGTGGGGGCGCCCACGGCCCGGGTGGTCCCCACCCCTCCCGGAGGCTGCGAGGAGGTGGAGTTGGAGGAAGGGGCGGCTGGAGGAGCCCTGGGGTCATCAACTGTGGGCTTTGGAAAGATCCAGCTACCTTGACACCCTGGCAGGTCATTGCTTTCCCTTGACCATAGGGTCTCCAGTCAACCTCAAGTGGTTGGAATTGCTGGCTGCCAGGTACCCAGAACCAGGAGATGCCAGGAAGGGGGTGACTAGGGGAGAGGGTCTATTGCAGTGTCCCTGAATCCAGTGAAAGGGTTGTGATGAGAAAGGCAAGATTGAGAAAATTGATTATGCTTTGAGGATCTTCCCATTGGGCAGTCCAAAAAGAAGCCACAAATGGGACTTTCTGATTTTGGCTACTTCCCCATGGTTACCAACCCTTGGTTGTTTTTTTTTTCCCCTCCCACTGTACTAACTTCAGAATCTACGTTCTCATCTCATTGCACAAATCCTTTTTATGTCATTTCCTGAATTCAGCAAAACCGTCTGCTGATCCACAGAAAATCACAGCCATGTGGTCCTCATCCCAGACCTTCCGTGAAACTCACTGCCAATCACAGAAGTCTGTCCAAGGGTTAGGCAACCAATGCTCTCTCCGAAAGTTCTCAAGTTTCAAGGCCCAAGGATAAACTTTTCCTCCTAATTTTGTGACTAGTAATCCGTCTCCCTAATTTCATCTCTTTGCCACTTTTTTGATCAAGCCTTGCTAGTTTCATTTCTGCTTTAATCTTCTGGGGGGGGAAATGCTCCAAAAACAGAGCATGATGTTTCTCCCTTTAAAATCCTTTGGAAGCTCTCCACCTCCCAGGGCAATATCATTTCAACCTATACAAGATGTTTTATAATCTTATCTCCTGACCTCCTTAGCTTCAATTCCAACAGTACCAACTCCAACACTATATGACATAGAACTTACAGATGTAGGCACATGTTGATACACCTGCAACCCTTTTCCCATCTGGAATTCAGCACAAACGAGGGTCTCTTTAGGGCCAGCACGGTGGCACAGCAAGCTATTCCTCTATCTGCAGTGTCAACATCCCACATGGATGCCAGTTCAAGTCCCAGCTGCTTCACTTCTGATCAAGCTTCCTGCTGCTGGCCAGGAAAAGCAGAGGAGGATGGCCCAAGTGCTTGGGCCCCTTCACCCATATGGCAGACCTGGGAGAAGATCTTGGCTTCTGACTTCAGATCAGCCCAGCTGTGCATGGTGCAACTATTTGGGCAGTGAACCAGCAGATGGAAGATCTCTGTCTCTATATCTCTGACTTGCAAGTAAAAGTATAGATGAAGTGTTAAAGGCATCATCCAACAAATATTTTTTAAAGAGTAAAGATTCTCATTTTGACTTGTTTCTTTTCCTTTTCCAATCTATCTGGAGGGCAGAGAGACAGGGTGATAGGCAGACCTCAGGCACAAAGAAGTCTCCCATCACTCCCCCAAATGCCATCAACAGCTGGGGCAGGGAGCCTGGAAGTCTCCCTCCCGGGCGCAGGGACCCGAGTACTTGAGCCATCACCTGCTGCATCCCAGGGAATGTATTAACAGGGATAGGGAGCTAAGGTCCAAAGTTCAGGCACTAAAAAACCTTCATTGCTTAGCCAGCTTCTCATTTTAAACCCTCTCTGACTACGACTCACATACTTTGCTTATCCCAAGAAAGCAATAGCACGCCAAACAATCTATTCTACTAAATCACAAAACATCCCTGCCTTTCTTCTTTCTGTGTCCTCCAGTTCCATGTGGTATTACCAAGTGGCCGGATAAAGATAACTACTGTAGCAGAAAGAACATGCAGATTACAAATTCAGAGAATGAAGTTTGGATGCTGTATTATCCCATATGACTGAAATAAACAGCTCAGTAATGCAAATTTGCTATGCCTCAATTCTGGAGTTGTTTCAGTTCTATGATTAACATTTGTTTTTAACTTTTGTTTTTAGAGTAACCACATCCATATACAATGCATAATCGTCTGTGTATACATGTAAAAGGAGCATATCTACATATCGTATTTATGTAACTATGCCTGTATAAAATGAAGAGACCTCACAGTCCTGGAAAACTAGCTTTCTAGCATTCACTCTAGCTATGTGACCTGACCTTGGACAAGCATCAAACTGCTCCATTTCAGAACTCTTAAAAAAAAAAAGACAAGTGGAACAGAATAAGGACCTATACATAAAGACAAGTAAACCTACATATCTGTAGGCAGCTAAAAAAGGTGCTAAAAAAACACACATTGGGAAAGGGGTTGTATTTTTATATTTCTTTCTTATTATTTGAGAGAGACACACACAAAGAGACAGACAAATCTACCAGCATTAAACAGGTGTGGACAAAGATGAAGCCAGGCTGCTAAAACTCAATCTGGACCTTCACACTGGTAGGCCGGACCCATCTACTTGATCCATCAGCTACTGACTTCCATGGTGCTCAATAGCAGGAAGCTGGAGTCAAGAGCATTCCAAAAGGGCTGTAGATATCCTAAACTATGCTAAATGCTCATGTCAAGGAGCGCATTTCTAATAAATGGTACAGGGAAACAATGTCCCTTGGCAGAAAAATGAGACTAGATCCTTCTCATTTCTCACCACATAAAAAAACATAACTACACAGATAAAAGACTTAAATGTAAGATCAGAAACTTTGAAACTATGAGAAGAAATTATAGGAGGAATGCTTTAGAATGTGGATATGAACCAGGATTGTTTTTTAGAACAAATACCCAAAGGTACAAGAAACAAAAGCAAAAATAGACAGCCGGGATTTCATTCATCAAACAAAACAACTTAAATAAAGCAAAGGAAACAATCAACAGAGTGACAAGAATGGAAGAAAATATTTGCAAGCTATACTTTCTGACAAGGGATTAATACACGGAATATATAAGGAACTCACGCATCACAATAGCAATAATAGTAATCCAATTAAAACTGGACAGATTTATACAAACATTTCACAAAGGAAGACACAAAAATGACAATAGTACATGAAAAGTTGCTCAAAATTACAAATCATCAGAGAAATGCAAATCAAAACTGAGATATCATCTCACTCAAGTTCTATTGTTTCCTACCAAAAAGATGAAAGAAAATGAGAGTTGGGAAGGATGTGGATAAAGAGTCCCCATGGAAACCATTAATGGGAATATAAATTAGCATAGCCATGGTGGTAAGCAGTAGAGAGGTTTTTCCAAAAACTAGTACTTCCAGTTGATCCAGCAATACATCATTGGGTGTATATCTTAGAGAAATGAAAGAAGTCTGTCAAAAAGACTTCCAGACTCCTATGTTTATTGTAGCAATATGCACACTAGCCAAGAAATGGAAAAAAAATCTGTAATATCCATCCACTGAGGAATGGCTAACAGAATGTGGTACATACACAGAGTGGAATGCTAGCCAGCCATAGGAAGGATGAAATCTATTTTTATGAAACATGGATGGAGCTGGAGGACATTGTGTAATGTGAAATAAACAAAACACAAAAGGGGAAGTGCTGCATGGCATCACTCACATATGGAACATAAAATTTTGGTATTACAGAAAGTTTAAGAGTATAGTGGTGGATGCAAAAGGCCAGGAAAATAGGAAGAGGGAAAGTGTGGGAAAGATTTGTTAGCAGGTCCTAAGTGAAACTTAGGAGTTCTGATATGCTGTTGCACTGTAGGGTAATTATAGATAAATGACAATATACTATGTATTTTTCTAGAACAAGAAAACAATTGGGAAAGAGTTTTTAGCTTAGCAATTTAGATCTGTACCTCTCATAGGTGAGTTCTTGAGTTAATTCCAAATTCTGTTCCTAATTCCAGCATTCTACCAACGTAAATCCTGCAAGGCAGTGAAGACACCCAAGAAAATCACCCTTCCCATGAAAGAGATTTGGATTGCATGCTGACTGCTGGGTCAGCTTTTGTGGCCATTTAGAGAGTGGTATAGGGTGGGGTTGGCGGTGAAGCTTGCTCCATGCACAACAATTTGTTTCTCTCTGTTAGTCTGTGTGTGTGTCTTTCTTCCTCTCAAATTGCTTTTAAAAATTTGGGAAAAAAAATGAATATTTAATGCCTTCAACATAAACAAATGTTAAGAATGTGAGCAGGTAGACACAGCTATGCAGGTTAGATAACACAAAATATGTTCACGCAGAGAAACAGCACATGATAGCCCATATATATGTACAGTCTTTATGTCAGCTAAAGTTTTTTTATAAATAAGTTAAAATATTAGGGGGAATACAAAAGCACTATAAGTCATTATTATAATAAGAATATGCATTAATGTACCCAATGAATCTAAACTGGTATGAACATCTGCTGAGCATATAATTGGCTGATTACCCTCTATGTTGCCTCATTTAAATATCTAAAGTCAGAAGAGGGCGGGAACTTAACATTGCCACCACCAGGCTGAGGGCTGGCTTGCCACCAGAAGACTGGACACAAGGCCCAGACTGGCTTAGGGGTTGTGGGTTGCCTGGGACTTCCTTAGAGGTATGGAATGAATTCTAGGGTACTCCAAGAGTGGGGCCTCTACACTTGTAGGTAAACAAGAAGGCTGAGCCTAGGTGCTTTGAAGGGAGGAAACCAGAGGGCATCTATGAGTCAGACCAATGAACCTGTCCACTTAGGATTCCTTGGCTAGGCTACATCGCATCACCTGCTACCTGAAGGGGCATATAGAAACTAGTATTGGAGCCCTGTTTTGCA